ATTATGTACAAATTCGCGTTTGGTACGCGCCAATGCTAACGCCGATTATGTCGCAATCGCGGGTGTTCGCTTTTGAACAGGTTGAACCGATGTATTCGTCGTTGATTAAGATCGTCATTAGACGTAATCCGTATGTAGCTGCATAGGAAGCGTGTGTCTGGGATGTCGGTGTATTTGTACTTCACAGATCGGTGAATTCAACATGTGTCCAACAAACGCGTTAACACGCGCGTCATGTTGATTTGTGTCCATGTGTGTTTGTGTGTGTGTGTGTGTCTGTGTGTGGTCTATATTTTGCGTACAGTGAAATCTCTCTCTGTGCGTCCGTCTTTCTGTCTCTACCTATCGCGCTCTGTTTGTCCGTATCACTATCTCGATTCTACCGTTCAGCGATATAATCGTTAGATGGGACAAATGACGACAGGAGTGCTCGACGTTTGATCAACCATTCTCTAGTAACGAAACAATACGTGAAAACTACCGCCGATACCGTTACATTGATACCATTGCTCCGTTTCCGTGCGTTGATCTCGTGAATCTCTCGTATAATCCTCCCTCTGTGAATTTAATTAAAGCAACAATTTACGCAGCATAGCTTAAGCGTGTAATTAAAGTTGAAATATAAAAAGATATCGTTTTTTACTCCTCCTTGGTAATCCAGCCCGAATCGTCAAGAATGTTACGTAATAAGATAGCTATTACAAAAATAACAATGTATTAATGAAATATCATTATGCAAGCAGCATTTAATTATTGCATCTAGCACAAATTAAAAAAGTTATAATAATGGCAGTGGAATTGCGTTCTTCTAACAAACTGTTTAATGTGTATATATGTATGTGTGCATTTTCGTGTATTGTTTTGTTTTGTTCCTAGACACAATAAAATACAACGTGGCAATTATTGAATATGAAACTAAATGGGCAGAACTGATTGTGAAATGGAGGTAAAAATACATCGAGAAAGGTAATTGTGTGATGTATACGATTCTTCTGGTCTAATCAATGGTCAAAATTTAAAGCGCTCATTTATATTGACAGAATGATTATTTATGCGCGGCTCGCAATAATCACTGGCGATTATTGTATTAAATTGCCATGAGCTCCGATTCGATTATCCAATCGTTTTATTCGTATTTATTTGCAATTGTAAAATTAACTTTTACACGCGCGTCTACTACGGGCATTATTACCTCTTTTTCGTAATCACTCTGCATTGGTGTATAATCACGCGTCACGTCAATCATCACGTCTAATTATTTTTTTTATATTAATTGCACTGAATCAGGTAACAATATAATAAATATATATAATTCCTAACATCTAAATTTGATTTTTTTTATGCACAGTATGTGTACATTGTACACATATCAAATAAGTACTCTTAAAATATTTCTTCTATACGTGTTCATAAAACATTTTTTATATTTATTAATAAAAATATATAAAATTTATATTATAAGGAAGCAAGACAATAGATATCTTATTAATAAAAGGATCTATCCAATATTTTAAATGTAACTAAGTAATGAAAAAGCTTTATCGGTTTGAGCTGGATCTTAGTATTTAAATAATATTTTAGTATAAATTTATATACATAATCAGTTCTGTGCAAACTGTCAAAATTATTTTCAGTCTTGAAACATAATCCTAAACTGAACTGGGATAATCATATCATCACATTAAATTGGCAAGCAATTTATTGGTGTTATATAATAAGCATCTTAAAAAGTTGCAAAAAATTATATGTAACATCGATAAGTACCATAAAATATCTATAAATAATTATTGCGAAAAATCACTTCAGCCAGAATCGCAAATTTCGACTTCCTTGCATTTCGTGACGAGTGTCTTAACTAATTCGATCACTAAGACTGCGGTGGTATTTATCGCAATAATAGTATGTGCAAAAAAACATATTTATTAAAGGCACGTAAAATAAACAGTGTCATAAGACTATATGTGTGTGTGTGAATACATAACATTAAGTTAGTAAAAAAGCCTCATTAATCTGAGCTGTATCTTAATGCTTAAAATAATGCTTAAAAATAAAAAAAATTTTAATTTATGTTTTTTGCATTTGTTTGGTAGAAACTGGCAAAAATTACATATGTCCTTCGTATTGTTTACGTATTAAATCATTAACATCAGTTAATTTTATGTTTTCACAGGAAATTCCATTTTAGACTGTATTTCAACAATTTACCTCTGTACTGTTGAACACTGCGTTAATTAACGGCTAATCATGAACGATAGAAAATTAGGCCATAATCCAAGTGCGTAACAATAGACTACTTAAGCTTACAATTAGTTTATGCTGATTGCATTCAATTATTGAATTTCGATGCCGTTATAATTCAATCATGAATCGAATGAGCACAAATTTCGATGCATTTTTCACGAATGTGAATGCACTCTGTCTTAAAACTCATACTTTGATATATTAATTTGAACTGAATATTTTCTGAAATTTCTACATATAGAAATGTATTTAATATAACATTTACGCGATTATTACTATGCAAATTAATTGCTTAGTACTATCTAATGCGTGTATCCGATCAATAATTATAATTGATATAATTGATTTGAGAGTGACTATGTATTTACAAAGCGAACAACATAAAATCAATATTTCGTTCAGTCTTGCATACGTCAAAATTTACGTAAAGTCATTAATATCAATTTTAACGTTTTGTTATTAAAAAATGTTACGGTAAAAATAAATAATACTTCTAGCTATTTAATTTAAAATTTTTTAATTTAGCGACGGTACATATATATTTTCTGAATAAATGTTAAAATACTTTGTTTTTGACAAAAATCAAAAAAATAAAATAAAATAAAAAGGAGAGTAGTCAGAAATGAACAACAATAAATGTCACGAAATAATTAATAAATTAAATTCTTTGGAAAAACACGAAAATAAAAATGTTTCGATTTTATTTATGCTTCACCAGTTTAGTAAAAAGTATTAAAATATAATACGATAATAAAGCATGATAAGAAGAAGTGAAAGACTTTAAACCAGGCCTGTCCATTTTGAGCTCCGGAGTTAAAACGCAAAGCCATCGACGTAAAAAAATTCAGTGTAAGATTTCGGGGACTGTAAAATGTTAATACGCATCTGAGTGACGTTTATCAACACTTTAGGGTCCCCGAAATCTTACAAAAATGGATAGACCTGCTTTAAACCGTAATTAAAATTGGATAAACAGCATATGTCAAAAATGTTATACAGAGAATAAAAAGTGAAACACTTATTCGGTTATTTGATACATAAATCTGTGAAATCATACAGCGTTATTAGAAAAAAAGAGAAATCAGAATGTGAGAACCTTTTGCGGATATAAAGCGGAATATTACAAAAAAGGATTATAAAACCGATCAATTCTCAAATCACCTACAATACAAAATCCTATAAAATGGTTATGCGATTTATAACATTGAAATACACGATTTTGGAGAAGTGTCAAAATTCGAGGTATTACCAAACGCAATATAAAACTAATCACGGAGAGAGAGAGAGAACGATCCGAGTCCGAGTTGCCAACTCAGCAAATCGCGGTGAAATTTATCGCGAGAAACGTCGCCAGGATTGAAGATAGCATCTCGGAGAGTATGTGAGTAGCGCGCAGCCGATTATCACGCCGGCAATTTTATGAAATACGGAAAATTGCCGGATCGAGCACTCCAGTCACGTTTTATTTTCCATTGAATCCCTTCCACGTAGCTTGCATTCCCATGATTCGACTGCTCGTAAAGCGTAAACCGTAAGGCAATCGCTCCTCGCCTTAACGCTTCTCGTAAATCGGTTTCTCGCGATGCGGATTACCTGGATTATCGTGGGGGGGATGGAAAGGGGAGACCCGCGACCTCTCGGTGGCGGTCTTCTCGTCCGTTTGTGGGCGAAGGGAGGCGGATTTCGTGCACCAGATCTACCGCGAAGCACCCGCGGTTTCGGCATTAGCATCGACGTTTGCTTAATTAAGTACCTTCCTTACCGAAAGATGCAACTCTCCCTCACCGATCGCGATTGCGTTCGCGTCGGGAACATGTGCGATTTCATCGCGGCCGAAATGATGGAAGTACGCGCATTATCAAGTTTTTCATCTTAAATTTCGATGCAGATCAGCGCGAGGTCACTAATCAGTGACGAACGAAGTAAGTGTTCTTCATTTTCTTCATAGGATTGATGAGCAACAACTCAATACCATCGTCCCGTCCAATGTCAGGGAACAGGAGGATCAGATTTATAGGAGCATGTATTCGTGAACGTTCATGTGTCTTGCACTTTCTGGTTATATAATACGCACCACATAGTCTGGCGTATTCGCTAATAAATTATAATTCACGATGCTTTTTGTAAGGAGTAATAATAATCAATTAACCGAGGGCTGCTACTTACAAGAGGAATCGCTATTTTTCCTTGATTGGCAGTTTTCCCTCCTCTGGTAAAAGCATCGTGAATTATGCGCAACGTGCCAACTGAACACACTCTATCTCAGTCCATTCACGGAATCTTTTGATGTCCCGTATAAATTGCGATTGTTCCGCGATCACGTCTGCTGGGCGGACGCACGTGAAAACGCGTTCGCGTAGACAGAGGGAACGTACCGCATCGGCCGTTGGCGCTGTTTTCGTTTTCGTTTACACCGAGGATATGTACAAAATGATGAGGGATACCAATAGACAACTCGAGGACAATATCGGCCCCGCGGTCCCCGTCTGCATCGCTTCTGGTCGCTCGCCTGTAATACAAAGACATCCTGGTTAAGGCAGCGGTGTCTTAGCGTTGAAGTCTTATTTTAACATTTCTACACGGAAAGGTTTTGTGGAAGTACCTAAAAAGAACTCCGCACTAATCATATAGAAAATTGGATTCCGGTGAAGTTAGTTTTCATACATAATGTAGCTGCGTAGCTGTAGTGAGTTAAGTTTGCGATGCTTGTTTTCTTGCTGAGTTGCGTTTTAGTAAATTACTAGAAATACTGCGTTCTCTGTGTGGAATTATAATAATTTACTAAAACGCTAGCAATCCAGCAGGAAAACAAGCATCGCAAACTTACACCGCAGGCTTTAGTTTTCACATAATGTAGCTGCGTAGCTGTAGTGAGATAATTTTCATAAATT